TCTGTCGCGAACAGGGCATTCGTCAGTCCTGGACGCTTCCGGAGTCCCCACAGCAGAATGGGGTTGCTGAGCGTCGCATAGGCCTGGTCATGGAGATTGCCCGCACCTCCTTGACTCACGCCCGTGCCCCCCATTTCCTGTGGCCATACGCGGTCAGGTACGCCGCGCACCAGCTGAACCTCTGGCCACGCGTCTCTCGGCCGGAGGCTTCACCGACCAGTCTTTGGACAGGGTCCCCTGGTGTCGCGTCGAGGTTTCGTGTCTGGGGGTGCTTGGCTCTTGTCCGCGACACCTCCGCGGACAAGCTCTCGCCTCGCGCCGTTCCTTGTGTCTTCCTTGGTTTCCCTGAGGACTCCTCTGACTTCACCTTTTACCACCCTCCCTCTCACCGGTTCTTTGACTCCCGTGACGTCCGTTTCGAGGAGTCCACCCCCTACTACGTCAGGTACCCCAGTCGAGGTCTCCCGGTCCCTCCCCCCCCTCTCTTCCTGACCGCCGCTCCCCCGCCTGCTCCCCCGGTACAGCCTCCCCCCCTGGTCCAGCCCCGTCTGGTGTGTCTCAGGCTAGCCCTCCCCCTTCGGTAGCCCCCCCTGTACAGCCTCCCTCCCCACAGTCTTCCTCGCCGCCTCCTGCAGGTGCTCCCTCTCGGGAGGTTGGTCCTGCGACTGTCCCTGTACAGGTCTCTGGTTCTGGGGGTGCTGGAGTTGGAGCTGAGCCGCGGGTTGCAGAGGACTCTTGTCTTCCGGGGGCTGGTACTGGTCGTGCGGAGTCTGGGGGTGCTGGTGCGGAGTCTGGGGGTGCTGCGTCTGGGGGTGAGGGTGTCCCTTCGGTTTCTGGAGAGCCTGGGTCTGGAGCTGGTGTTAGTGCTGCCTCTGGGGGTGGTGTGCTTGGTGCTTCGGAGGTCGACTCTGGGGCTGCCGCTGCCCCGGACACTACTCCTTTCCCCACCCCTATCCGACCAGGTTCCAGGCTCGTGTTCGCCGTGCTCGTGAGGAGCAGCTGGAGTTGGAGAGAGAGGAGAGAGAGTTGCAGCGGCTCGAGGAGCAGGAGCGACAGCAGCAGGAGCAGCAGCAGGAGCAGCAGCAGGGGCAGCAGCCGCTGGAGCAGCAGCAGCCGCAGCAGCAGCTGCTGCCGTCTCCTCCTCCTGTCTCGGGTCTTCGGACCCTTGGTCTCCCCTCTCCCTCTCCTTCCTCCTCCCCCTCTCCTCCTGTCTCTGGTCCTCCGCTTCCTCCTCCTGACCCCTCTCCCGCTGTTTTCCCTCGTTCTCAGTCTTCGTTGTCTCCTCCTCCTTCTCAGACTTGGGCCTCTCGTCGCTCCCCTCGTGCTCGTCCCTCGTCTCCTGTTCCCTTCACTGACCTTCGTACAGCCTTCCTTTGTTCTCGTCCACCTCGTCCGTCTCCGTCTGTGCTTCCGTCTCCTCCTGAGTCGGCCCTCACTGTGTCGCTTCCTTCTCCTGTCACTGACTACTACCGCACGTACCGTCCTATTCTCTCTCTCTCGTGTTCTCGCCTCTCTTGTTACCCACCCTCGTGCCTCTCTGTCCTCTGTGTCCGCTCTTACTGCCGCAGTCACTGAGTTTGCCTCTACTCGCCGCCTTGACTACGCCACCAGTCTTGTGGCTGCTCCTCCTTCCAGTCCTCTGGCCGTCGGGGGTGTGTCTGCCCTTGGCTGTGACGCCCTAGAGGACAGGCAGTTTGAGCTAGAGTTCCTGGCAGCCGCTTCCCCTCATCTCTGTGCCATGCTCCTCGCCCCTGAGGGTGACCCCGACGCCCTTGACATTCCGACTCCTCGCACTTACGCTGAGGCAGTGTCAGGGCCTTGGGCCTCTCAGTGGAGAGCTGCCATGGACGCAGAGATGGCCTCCTACAGATCCACAGGCACCTACGTCGATGAGGTTCCCCCTCCGGGGGCGAACGTAGTCGACGGCATGTGGATCTACAGGGTGAAGCGGCCACCGGGATCTCCTCCGGTCTTCAAGGCGCGCTACGTGGCTAGAGGCTTCAGTCAGCGCGAGGGAGTTGACTTCTTTCAGACCTTCGCGCCCACCCCGAAGATGACCACTCTTCGGGTATTACTATACGTAGCAGAGCAGAGAGACTACGAGTTACACTCTCTCGACTTCTCTACTGCTTTCCTTCAGGGCAGTCTTCACGAGGAGGTCTGGTTGCGTCGTCCCTCTGCCTTCACTGGCTCTTTCCCTCCTGGGACCCAGTGGAGGCTGAGGCGACCGGTTTACGGTCTTCGTCAGGCTCCTCGTGAGTGGCACGACACCCTGCGTTCTACCCTGTCTGACCTTGGGTTCCAGCCGTCTTCTGCTGACCCGTCGCTGTTCGTTCGTCGTGGCCCCACACCTTTCTTTGTTCTGGTCTACGTTGACGACCTTGTTTTCGCCACCCCTGACAGGGTTGCTTTGGCACACGTGAAGTCCGAACTGCAGAAGAGACACACCTGCACTGATCTTGGTGAGCTGCGCCACTACCTTGGCCTGCAGATCACCAGGGACAGAGCTGCTCGCACCATTACACTTTCACAGTCACACATGGTGCAGCAGGTCCTTCAGCGGTTCGGGCTTCAGCACTCCACAGTACAGCGCACACCTCTTGCTGTTGACCACAGACTCACTGGACCCTTTCCTGACGAGCCGTTCGAGCCTAGTGGTCCCTACGCAGAGCTTGTGGGTTGCCTCATGTACCTGATGACTTGTACTCGCCCAGACCTCGCCTTCCCTCTCAGCGTTCTTGCGCGCTTTGTTGCGCCAGGGAGACACCGTCCTGTTCACTGGACAGCAGCTGTGAGGGTGGCGAAGTACCTAGCGACGACATCAGGCGTGGGGCTAGTTCTTGGAGGGCAGCAGTCTGTCGTACTTACTGGTCACTGTGACTCCTCTTACGCTGACGACGCTGAGACTCACAGGTCTACTCAGGGGTACTGTTTCAGCCTGGGTTCTGGAGCTGTTTCCTGGCGGTCCACGCGCTCCTCTTCGGTCTCGACCTCTACAGCTGAGGCTGAGATCTACGCTGGTGCCATGGCGGCACAGGAGCTGCGTTGGTTGACCTTCTTGCTCACCGACCTTGGTGAGCGGCCGAGCTCTGCACCGACCTTGTTCACTGACAACAAGGCGTCTATTCTCCTTTGTCGAGAGCCACGACTGGAGAGCAGAGTGAAGCACATTCACGTCAGGTACTTTCTTCTGCGAGAGTTGCAGAGGCGTGGACAGGCTCGCTTTGAGTTTGTGGAGTCCGAGGCCAACACTGCAGACATCTTCACCAAGGCGCTTCCGCCTTGTGACCACCAGAGGTGCTGTGTGCAGTTAGGCCTTGTTGACACTGGTTCTCGTGTTGCTTAGACTTGAGTGTACTGTTTACTTTGCTTTCTATATATCTCTGTTACTTCTTGGACTGGCCTTGTGGCCACTGTTGTTTGTGCTCAGACTGTGTGGTGACGTTGTGATCCACCCTGAGCTTCGTTTCTTGGACTGGTCTTGTGACCGTACTCGTTTGGTTCTGCTAGACACCCTTCACTTAGGCTATGGGGGTGTGTCAAATGTTGTAGCCTATAGTGAGGTTTGTCTTAGGGGGTACAAAACTTAGGGTTAGCTATATGTACCCCAACCAACAACAATGCATCATCCATTTTCTCATTTTGACAACTGCCACCGTCGCCATCATCTTGTACTGGGTTGTAAGAGTTTCGCACTTTGCAACTGCCAGCGACTTGCACTGCCAGCCACTTGCAGCTGCACCCCAGCATTACACACTTCGAATGCGGAGAGCATTTCGAACCCCGCTAACATAACACGCGCGAAATATACAGGGTGTTAAACTGTGCTATGTTGGTAGGCTGTAGTGGGGTAGCCAATATGGGGTACAACCCCAACTAGGGTTTGCTACTTGTACCCAATTCTTCCATTCAATGCACCATTCTTGCCTAGTCTTGTTGAAATGGTATTCAGAGCAGGAGGTCCCTAGGACCTACCGACCGTTTTTTTTAGGGCCCACCACCGCTCGCATGCGGTTACCACGCTACCCCGTGCCCTAGCCTCGTAGCGCCCTCGTGCGCCCTCGTTAGCGCCCTCGCGCGCCCTCGTTAGCGCCCTCGTGCGCCCTCGTTAGCGCCCTCGCGCGCCTCTCGTTAGCGCCCTCGCGCGCCCTCGCTAGCGCCCTCGCGCGCCCTCGTTAGCGCCCTCGTGCGCCCTCGTTAGCGCCCTCGCGCGCCTCTCGTTAGCGCCCTCGCGCGCCCCTCGTTAGCGCCCTCGTTAGCGCTCTCACCCGCCGCGCTGCTCGTAGCGCCGCCAGCCGCGCTACCCGCTCACGCTGCCCGCTCGCAGCGTCGCCCGCCCGCCGCGCTGCCCGCTCGCAGCGTCGCCCGTCCGCCGCGCTGCCCGCTTCGCAGCCCGCCCGCCGCGCTGCCCGCTCGCAGCGTCGCCCGCCCGCCGCGCTGCCCGCTTGCAGCGCCGCCTGCCCGCCGCGCTGCCCGCTCGCAGCGTCGCCCGCCCGCCGCGCTGCCCGCTTGCAGCGCCGCCTGCCAGCCGCACTGCCCGCTCGCAGTGTCGCCCGCCCGCCGCGCTGCCCTCTTTGATCGCCGCCCGCCCGCCGCGCTCCCCACCGAGCTACCTACCTGCAGCGCTGCGGCAGCTTGCTTTGCTCAGTCGCACTGTCGCTATGGCTTCCATCCGCGTGCTGTCGTTCGATGCTGAGGGCCGCCCTGTGAAGTTCGCCACTTGGCTGGATGACCTGCAGCTGTTCCTTCTGAGCGATAGCAAGGAGCATGTGTCGCTCTATGATTACGCGTCTGGTGCTGCGCCTGCCCCTCCTGCCACAGCTGAGCTTAGTGTTCGTTCCCACTGGCAGACTCGTGACGCAGCTGCTCGCCTAGCCATTCGCAGTCACCTGCCGTTAGCTGAGCTCGAGCATTTTGGCGACTGCAAATCCGCTAAGGCCCTGTACGACGCTGTCGTTGCTCGCTACTCCTCGCCTGCCACAGCCGAGCTTAGCCGCCTCATGCTGCCTTACCTGTTCCCTGAGCTGTCCACCTTTGCTACAGTCGCCGATCTTATCACCCACCTTCGCACTAGTGATGCTCGCCTGCGTGCCGCCCTTCCCACCGAGTTCTGCGCTAAGAATCCCCCTCCACTGTACTGGACACTCCACTTCATAGTCACCCGTCTCCCTGACACCCTCAGCTCAGTTCGAGACCACTTCCTTGCTCGCTGTCCCACTGAGCTCACAGTCGCCCTCCTAGAGGAGCAGCTGCTAGCGGCCGAGAAGAGCATTGTAGCTGTCGGTGCTGCTCGTGGCGCTCCTCGCACCCCCATCTTTGAGGGGTGTTCTCCCTCTCCCCTCGCTCCCTCCTACGCTACTGCTGCTGCTGTTGACTTCCTTGGTGCTGAGTCTGCTGGCGCTGCTTCTGCTCCTGGTGGGAGGCGCCGCACCGGCAAGGGCAAGGGGGGCAAGGGTGGCGGGGGTGGCGCTGGGGGGGGAGGAGGTGGGGGAGGTGGGGGGGGAGGCGGTGCTGGAGGGAGCGGTGGCGGGAGCGCTGGTGGGAGTGGGGTCGGCAGTGGAGGCGGGGGCGGCGGAGGGAGCAGTGGCGGTGGTGGCGGCGGCGGCGGTGGCGGCGGTGGCGGTGGCGGTGGTGGCGGTGGCGGTCGGAGCGGAGGTAGTGGTGGCGGCGGAGGTCGGAGTGGAGGCACTGGCTCGGGCCAGAGCTCCCAGCAGCAGCAGCGTCCCCAGACGACCCAGCAGCTTCGTGAGTGGCTTGCTCAGCGTGGGACGTCGGGGGGCAGTGTCCGCTGTTCCTATGTCATTCGCACAGGTGACCGCAAGGGACAGACGTGTGGGAAGTTCCACACCCCGTACCGCTGCTTCTCCCGCCTTGACGACGCTTGGCGTGAGGAGATGGGCGAGGATGTTGAGCGCCCCCGCTGGGCGGAGCTGATGAGGGCTGGTGTTGATATCTTTGCTCTTGACTATGATGCTATTATTGCTGCCATGTATGCATTGACTGTTAGTGCCGAGGGAGACTGTTACTTGTGTGTGCCGCCTGACCCAGGTATAGAGCCCGCTGCCCTAGGTACTAGTGAGTCTGCTCTCTCTGGTATGGTGCCCCCTGTACCTGCTCCCTCCAGCACTGTCCCTGCTGCTTGCGAGTCTGCTCTCTCAGGTACAGCACCCACAGAGACTGCTCTCTCAGGTACCGCACCGGCTGAGGCCTGTCACACCTTCACCCTTGACTTAGGTGCTTCCCGCTGTTTCTTTCGTGACCGTACTGAGCTCACACCGCTTCCTGCACCGGTCCCAGTCTCCTTGGCTGACCCCTCTGGGGGCCCAGTCCTTGCACGGTCCACCACTGTGCTCCCGTGTCCAGCGGTTCCGTCTGGCTCGTTGTCGGGTTTCCACCTCCCCTCGTTCTCGACGAACCTGGTGAGCAACGCTGTCATCCAGGATCAGTGGGTTGACACCTTTACCCCTGGAGGACAGCGTGTGGCGATCCTCACGTGCTCCAGGACCGGCCGTCACCTGGCTACGTTTACCCGTCGGCCGGGGTCGAGTCTCTACACACTGACCACTGCGTCTCCTCAGGTCGCTGCTGTCGGTCAGGTGTCCGCGTCAGGTCTGGTAGCCCACGCCTGTGAGTGTCGTTCCCTGTCGCACCAGACTCTTCTCTGGCACCACCGCCTGGGTCACCCCTCCTTGCCACGCCTCCGTGGCATGCACCCTCGCCAACTTGTGTCTGGTCTTCCCAGGTCCCTCCCTCCCCTCCCTGCCTCGCCTGCGCCGCCTTGCCTTCCTTGCGTCGAGGGGCGGCAGCGCGCCGCTCCTCACTCCTCCTCGTTTCCCCCGACAGAGGCTCCTCTGCAGACCCTCCACCTGGACGTGTGGGGCCCAGCCCGCGTTCGTGGTCAGGGCGGTGAGCGGTACTTTTTGCTGGTTGTCGACGACTACTCGCGTTACACCACGGTCTTCCCCTTGCGCACCAAGGGTGAGGTCCCTGCTGTTCTGATCCCTTGGATCCGCACAGTTCGTCTCCAGCTCCGCCGCCGTTTCCGGACGGATCTTCCTGTCCTGCGTCTGCACTCTGACAGAGGTGGTGAGTTTTCCTCCGACCTCTTGAGGGCCTTCTGTCAGGCGGAGGGCATCGAGCAGACCTTCACGCTTCCGGACTCCCCACAGCAGAATGGGGTTGCTGAGCGCCGCATTGGCCTGGTCATGGAGGTCGCTCGTACCTCCTTGGTCCACGCGGCGGCTCCCCATTTTCTGTGGCCGTTTGCTGTCCGGTACGCCGCGCATCAGCTCAACCTCTGGCCCCGTGTCTCCTTGCCGGAGACCTCGCCCACACTGCGTTGGACGGGGGAGGTTGGCGATGCGTCGCGCTTCCGGGTGTGGGGTGCTCGTGCCCTTGTCCGCGATACGTCCGCGGACAAGCTCTCCTCCCGCACGCTTCCCTGTGTCTTCCTTGGCTTTGTCCCTGACGCGCTTGGCTGGCAGTTTTACCACCCCACCTCGCGCCGGGTCTTCGCCTCTCAGGACGTCACCTTTGACGAGTCGGTCCCTTTTTACCGTCTCTTCCCCTACCGCACTGCCCCCCTCCCTCCCCCGCCGCTTTTCCTTGCTCCTGGTCCCCCTCCGGTAGACCCCCTTCCCCCTCAGGGTCCTGCTCCTTCAGGTGTCTCTCAGGTAGACCCTCCTCCTGTCGCTGAGCCTGTCGAGGTCACAGGTGACTCAGGTGCTGCTGCAGGTGGTGCTGCTGGGAGTGCTGAGCCTGGGGGTGCTGAGCCTGCGGGTGCTGGGCCTGGGAGTGCTGGGGCTGCGGGTGCTGGGACTGCGGGTGCTGGAGCTGAGGGTACTGAGCCTGGGGGTGCTGCGCCTGAGGGTACTGAGACTGGGGGTGCTGCTACTGAGCCTGGGATTCCTGCGTCTGGGGGTGCTCCGGTTCGGGGTGCTGAGCAGTCTCTCACACCGCAGCAGCTTCGTGACTGGTACGTCCGGCGCTTTCGCCGTTCTCGTGGCTCTGCTGGAGTTGGGGGTGCTGGAGCTGCTCGTCCTGGAGGTGCTCGTACTGGGGGTACTGGAGCTGCCGGGACTGGTTGTTCTGGGAGCACTGAGACTGGAGCTGCTGGAGCTGGGGACTCTGGAGCTGGCGGTGCTAGCGGAGTTGGAGCTGCCGGCTCGTCCGGTGCTCTTCCTGGCGGTACTGGAGCTGCTGGAGCTGACGACACTGGAGCTGACGGTTCTGGACACGGTGGTCCTACTAGTTCTGGAGGTGCTGGCGAGGGGAGGTCTGACGCTGCTGGGGCCTCTGGTGCTGACGTCGCCGACTCGGGGGGTGCTGCGGCGGAGGGTACTAGTCCTGGTGCTTCTGGTGCTGCGGGTGCTGGAGGTGCTGGCGGGGGCTCCGCCGTCGCGCCTGTTCTTCGCTCCTCCGTCACCGTCGGCTTTGCCGCCGCCTGACACGGTGCTTCGCCAGGTTCTTTCCCTCCCGTCTTCCACTGGCCTTCCCCTCCAGCCTGGCTCCCCCCTCCCTGCTCCTGTGCCTTACACTGCACAGCCGGACTCGCTTGCGGAGCGTCGTGAGCCTGCGTCTCGTCCTGCCTCGCCTGTTCGCGCTGCTCGCACTGGTCCCACTGGCCGTCGTGTCGCGCGTCCGCGTCCTCCTCCTGTTCCTGGCACGCACATTATGGCACTTCGTCCTTCCACTGGTCCACAGCGTGTCCCCCTACCGTCTCCTCCTGCGTCTTCTCTTCCTGACGTTCCCGACCCTGAGTCTGACAGTGTTCGTGCTGCCCACCCTACTGTTACGCGTCTTCTCGCCACTGTTGTCACTGACCCGTCGTTTGAGTCTTCTGCTGCGTCTGCCCTGGTCGCTGAGCTTGTCGACTTTGCTGCTGCCTGTCGCCTAGACTACGCCGCCGGTCTTGTTGCTGAGTCTGAGTCTGTCTGTCCTCCGTCCGTCGGGGGTGAGTGTGCTCTTGGCACGGACGTCCTTGAGGACAGGCAGGAGGACTTTGACTCTCTTGCGGCTGCTGTACCTCATCTCGTGGCCTGGTTGCTTGCCCTTGAGGGAGACCCGGATGCACTAGACATCCCCACTCCGCGCACTTAGTTGCTTGCCCCTGAGGGAGACCCGGATGCACTAGACATCCCCACTCCGCGCACTTACGCAGAGGCGATCTCGGGTCCCTTCTCCTCTCAGTGGCAGACAGCCATGGACGCAGAGATGGCATCCTGGAAGTCCACAGGCACCTACGTCGACGAGGTTCCCCCTCCTGGGGCGAACATCGTCGATGGCATGTGGATTTTCAGGGTGAAGCGGCCGCCAGGTTCTCCACCTGTCTTCAAGGCTCGTTACGTTGCTAGAGGCTTCAGTCAGCGTCAGGGGGTTGACTTCTTCCAGACCTTCTCCCCCACCCCGAAGATGACCACTCTTCAGGTTCTGCTGCACGTTGCTGCTCAGCGTGACTATGAGCTTCACTCTCTTGACTTCAGCACAGCGTTCCTGCAGGGCAGCCTGCACGAGGAGATCTGGCTGCGCCGCCCACCTGGCTTTACTGGGTCGTTTCCTCCTGGTACCCAGTGGAGCCTCCGCCGGCCAGTCTACGGTCTCCGCCAGGCACCATGTGAGTGGCACGACACACTGAGGACTACTCTTGCGGCTCTTGGGTTCGCGCCGTCTACTGCTGACCCGTCGCTGTTTCTGCGCACAGACACGTCGCTGCCGCCGTTCTACATTCTCGTGTACGTCGACGACTTGGTCTTTGCTACTGCTGACACTGAGGCACTCGCTCGTGTGAAGTCGGAGCTGCAGAAGAGACACACCTGCACTGACCTGGGTGAGCTGCGTAGCTACCTTGGCTTGCAGATCACCCGGGACAGAGCACGCCGCACCATTACCCTGACTCAGTCACACATGGTGCAGCAGGTCCTTCAGCGCTTCGGCTTCCAGTTCTCCTCACCACAGGCCACACCTCTGGCTACCAGCCACTCGCTCTCAGCTCCACCTTCGGACGAGTCCGTAGAGCCGAGTGGCCCGTACCCAGAGCTTGTAGGCTGCCTCATGTACCTGATGACTTGCACACGACCTGACCTTGCGTACCCTCTTAGCATCCTTGCTCGTTACGTTGCGCCTGGGAGACACAGGCGAGAGCACTGGGAGGCTGCTAAGAGGGTGCTGCGTTACTTGTGCAGCACATCAGGCATGGGGCTGGTGCTTGGAGGACGCGACAGAGTTGCCCTCACTGGTCACTCGGACGCTTCTTGGGTGGACGACCTAGCTACGCAGCGGTCGTCACAGGGTTACACCTTCAGCCTTGGCTCTGGTTCTGTCTCGTGGCGGTCCACCCGCTCTTCTTCTGTTCTCGGCTCTAGTTGTGAGGCTGAGATCTACGCCACGGCCATGGCTGCACAGGAGTTACGCTGGCTCACCTACCTGCTGACTGACTTGGGAGAGCGGCCTAGTTCTCCTCCAGTTCTGTACGGCGACAACAAGGCGGCCCTTGCCTTGTGTCAGGAGCACAGACTGGAGCACAGGACGAAGCACATTGCTCTTCGCTACTTTCTTGCTCGAGAGCTGCAGCAGCGAGGTCAGCTTCGGCTTGTGTACGTGGACTCGAAGGCCAACACTGCTGATATCTTCACCAAGGCGCTCCCGCCTAGTGATCATCAGCGGCACTGTACTTCCTTAGGCCTTGTGTCCACATTCCCTCATTTGCTTACTGCTTGACTTTCTTTGTACTGTCCTTTATATATATCTTGTTGCTTGCTTGCTAGGTCTTGATCACTGTGTTGCTTGTCTTGTACTATATCTAGCACTGCATGTGAACTGGCCTTGTGGCCTTTGCTTGTGCTCGGAGTGTGGTGACGTTGTGATCCACCCTGGGCTTTGCTTTGCTTTGCTGGACTGGTCTTGTGACCCTTTGTTCTCCCCCACTTTGCCTATGGGGGTGTGTTAAACTGTGCTATGTTGGTAGGCTGTAGTGGGGTAGCCAATATGGGGTACAACCCCAACTAGGGTTTGCTACTTGTACCCAATTCTTCCATTCAATGCACCATTCTTGCCTAGTCTTGTTGAAACAGGGTTGTACGAAATGTAGCATTGAACTGCCAGGATAGAGTCAAATATCGCACTGACATTTCAGGATACCTCACCCTGTGCAGCCCTGACAATTCAGGGCAAATTCTGATTTCCTAAAAACTGCCCTGAGGCCTCAGTGTACCCCCAAACCAATCTGAGGGCCTGAGTGGCACGGAAATCCAGACAGCTGTCCCTAGTCATCACCAGCACCACCAGCACCACCCTTCACTCATTGCTGCACTCACCCCAGTCCTGCCACCAGCACCAGCACCACCCCTCACTCACTGCTGCACTCACCCCACTCTTGCCACCACCACCAGCACCACCCCTCACCCACTGAATAGTCAGCTGTCAGAATGTGATGGTTGTCTAGCCTGCAGTGGGGTACTCTATAGCGAGTACAGCCCTTCTAGGGTTTGCATATATGTATCCCTATGCTTGTTAGTCAAAACCCTTCTTGCCTGTTTCTCGTTTTGGCCTAGCATTTTGACATGCTATCAGAGCGGGTCGACCCTCCTGGGTCGATCCTGTGGGTGGTCCCACCAGAAGCTTCCGCTGTTGTTTCCTGCTGTTTCCTGCCTGCCGCGCGCTCCGGGCGCGCAGCGATTTTTGGCGCGCGGCGGTTTTCTGCCCCGTCACTCGGCGCGTCGCCCCCGGGAGGCGCTGCGACGGGCGACGGGGACCCGCGCGTCGCCCCCCGTCGCCCGTCGTGGCCTGCGCGCGGCCCGTACAGCCGGCGCGCGGCCCGTACGGGCTGCGCCAGGCCCGCGCGCGGCCCGTACGGGAAGCGCCAGGCCCGCGCGCGGCTCGGGCCGCCTGCGCGCGGTTCGGGCGGCTATGCCAGGCCCGTGGGCGGCCCGTTCCTCGCTGCCCCTGCCCTCCCCACTGTCCCCCGTGCTTCTACTGGCGCCCCACCCCTCCTACAGCCCGTTCTCCTGAATTAGGGTTTGGGGGTGAGGGGTATGGGGGTGAAGCCACTGAGTGCCGTTCCCCTCCTCCTCCTCCTTCTCCGTCTCCCACTGCTGCAGCTGCCGCTGAGGGGGGTGGGTGTGTGGGAGCCGAGGGAGTGGCGCTAGGGGGTGTAGTGTGAGCGGTGCTAGGGGAACAGCAGGGGGTGTGTAAAAAGGGGGTGGGACAGCTGGGGGAAGTTGAGAGGAGGCCGTCGACTTGTCGTCCGCAGCGCCTGAAGTCCAGGGAGCCACGACCCCCTGTGGCCTGAGTAGTCCGGGGCTCTGCGCCCGGTAGCTACAGTGTGTGCACTCCTGGGAGCACAGCGAGCCAGCTGCGACCCCCTGTCGCCGTGTAGTCCGGGTTTAGCCTGGTAGCGTCAGTGCGGCGTACTCCTGCTGCCTGTGTGTCTGCAGCTTCAGCCGTCGCCTCTCATCTTCTTGCTCCCACAGTTTCTCCTCCTCCTCACTTGCCCTCTGTGATAGCCTCTAGCTTTGCTTATAATTGTGAACTATTGCTCTGTCTGCTTGTTATGTTGATTGTACCCCACTTTGACTATGGGGGTGTGTCAGAATGTGATGGTTGTCTAGCCTGCAGTGGGGTACTCTATAGCGAGTACAGCCCTTCTAGGGTTTGCATATATGTATCCCTATGCTTGTTAGTCAAAACCCTTCTTGCCTGTTTCTCGTTTTGGCCTAGCATTTTGACATCAGCTTCTGCCATAACCGCAATGGTACGACCCCGGCAGCGGCAGAGGACAGCAAAAGGCACGGCGATACACACGGCGCTCATTGCAATGAAGTACCTCCAGATATAGCCCAGGTTTTGAGTCGGCTCACAACACCGCTCATCGCTATGAAGTACCCCCGGAAGTAAACCAGGTCTGGCTAGATTGGGTCACGGTGGCAGTGCTTGGAGCCTTCCAAGAAGCTCGTTGCAAAGTAAATTACGTCACCGTACAGCTGGCCGAGGGAGAGAATGGGTGCGGACATGCCATGCCGTACCTGTGAGGGTTGTGCGGGTGAGTTGGGTTGGGTATGGTTGGGCTTAAGTGGATTTAGGTGGGTATGTGTGCAGGAAGGAGGAAAGGAGGAAAGGGTGGTGGAAAGGAAGGAGGGAAGGGAGAAAGGGAGGAGGAAAGGAAAAAAGAAAAGGGAGGGATCTTGTTACAAAATGTGATCCAGCTAGGGAGGGAGAGAGCTAGGCGAGGGAGAGAGCTAGGCGGGCGAGAGAGCTAGGCGAGACCTGACCAGTGACCCTTGGATGAAAGCAGTGACCTGGCCACTTTAGCAGAGAGCACACATCCAACTCGAGTGGCATAGCACGAGTTGGCATTGCTTTACTACTTCTCTGTGAGGGGGTGAGGCGAGCACGGGGCAGGTGAGAGGGTGAGGTGGAGCAAGAGGGACAGGAAACGGCAGTAGGCGGGAACAAAGAAAAAGCACACATCGAGCAACAAGGTAAGGTGGGGGGCAAAGAGAAAGCACCCATATGCATCTTGACCTTTAAGCATGCGGCATGAAAGAATCTAGCAGAGAAGTGTTGCAGGGTGCTGCTAATGAGCTCCTTGCTTGCAACGAAAGTCCCTTTTAGCAGCAAACGGAATGCATGAACTCATTGCCTTCCACGCATTTTGAGTCGACTCTAAATTAGGTGACTTTTGACTTCTGAGTCGACTCTAAATTTGGTGACTTTTGACTTCTGAGTCGACTCAAAACTTGGTGACTTTTGACTTCTGAGTCGACCCAAGAGTTGTCCTTTAGCAGCAAACAAAGTGCATGAACTCATTGCCCACTGAGCCAATGCAAGAAGCACCGCCACCCCTGGGGCATTCTGTCAAATATATGCATATCACAATCTAGGTTGCATTGGGGATAGCATTAGAGGGTACAAAGTTTTTCTCGACATTCTCCTTCTTGTACCCAAACTCCCTCAACCTAATCAACTAATTGATGGCCTAAGTTCTAAGTTCTAAGATGGTATCTAGAGCATTAGGTCTTAGGACCTAAGATTCGGGCCCACCTAACCGCCTGCCCTACCTACTGCCCACGCGCGCCTCGGCTGCGAGCGCGTCATCCTTTTTT